TTTTTTAGATAAATAAAAATGCAAACAATTAAATGTGTAATTGTAGGAGATGGGTAAAGTGAATTTATTTTAAGTACTTTTATTCAAAAGTTCAAATTCAATTCAATTCAATCTATTAATCTGATCAAAATGTTCAAATTAAATAAAAGACCATTCATTCAAATGTCTAACAATTTGAATATTATTATTGTTTTAAAGTGCTGTTGGAAAAACTTGTATGTTGGTTAGCTATACTACAAATGCTTTTCCAGGAGAATATATACCAACAGTGTAAGTTTATATGGTTTAATATTCATATTTAACAAATTTAGCTAGTTAATTTTTTAGAAATTAAAATTAAATACATACATACACACACACACTTACACATACACTTACACACACACACACACACATATATATAGATTTGATAATTTTACAGCAAATGTAATGGTGGATGGGAAACCAATTAGCATGGCACTTTGGGATACAGCTGGACAAGAAGATTATGATAGATTAAGGCCACTTTCATATCCACAAACTGATGTTTTCCTGATTTGTTTCTCACTGGTTAGTCCATCTTCATTAGATAATGTAAAAAACAAGGTAACAAAAAATATTTTCGATCAATTAATTATAAAATTCTATAAAGTCATCATCCATATATACAAACTATGTTTATGTGCTTATAATAGTGGGTTCCAGAGATTATTCATCACTCCCCAAACGTTCCATTTTTACTAGTGGGCACTAAGTTTGATCTTCGTGATGATAAAGCCACGATATTAAAATTACGTCAAAAAAATCAAGCTCCAATTTCTTTTGCAGAAGGACTTCAAATGGCAAAAGACATTGGTGCAGCAAAATATGTAGAATGTTCGGCACTGACACAAATGGGGTTAAAATCGGTATTTGATGAAGCAATAAGAGCAGTCCTTACTCCTATCTTGATTAAAAAATATAGACGTAAATGTATAATATTATGATTTATCCCCATATTAATTAATAGTTGTGTTGGCCCCTTGTCAGTATTTTTTCTGGTTTTTTTTTTTTTTTTTTTAATAAATTTGTTATCCATTATATATATAAATTTATTCGTATAATCAATGATGAAAAAAGAGGGAAGAGAGAAATGACTTATATGAGCTTTAAATATTTATTGGTCTTTGTAAATTTTTAATATAATTTTTTTTTGTTTTCACCAATAGAAAAAAAATATTAATATTAATTAACAAATATTTCTTAATACATTTTATGCAGAAAAATAAATGTGCATAAAAAAATTTATATAAAAGGATTTTTTTTTTGGATTTTATTTATTATTTTTTATTATATAA